TATTATTATGTATGATATTTTCAATACTTAGCATAGTCGGTGGTACCTAAATGTAAATTGTATTGCTATAAATATTGAGGAATGAGAAGGGACAACACACGAATTATCAAAACCTTAACAGTGCATATTATATGTTTTCACACCAACTTGCAGATTCAATGGTGATAAAGAAGATAATGTATTAAGATTAGTATCAAACACAATGAAATGCAAAAAGCAACACTTGAAATGAATGTAGAAATGAGAAGCATATGTTACAAACGGTAGTAGTTCATTGATGCATGAACATTAACCCTTCCTACTCACTACGATACAAATGAAAGTTTCTTTCAACCTTTTTTCGGAATTGGCAAACGGATTCTTGAAAAAGATAAATCCAGTTGCACCTCTCGCACAAATGCACAGCTGTTCCTAATCCACAAAAAAAAATCGCATGCTAACAATGAAGTAACGTGACGGTACTGGTTACAAGGAGGAAGGGAGCCGAATTCATTGATCGTGGGGGTACAGATGTCCATTCTCGTTGGCTAAGTTACCATCAACAAAACTTGGATTATTGTCGGAGCTAGCACTGCTGCTGGTGGCGAGAGGAGAGTCTGAAGCACTGATCGTTTGGGTTTTTGTTGACTCGGATCTCACGCTATACACGGAAGAAGCCGGAACTTTTGTGATCATTGCACGCATATTACCTGGCATGCTTCGTCTTATATCCTGTATCAACCAAAAAGATATCGGCTTCATTTTTCTTATGGATCTTGTTTTTATTCATCCTCGCATCACAGAAACAATTTCAAATATATATGGGTCTCATTGAAATATATGACATAATGGTCATTCTCTTTCACTGGATTATGCATCAAGTCAAACAAAATATTTAAGTGGCAAAATCAATAACATTGAACATGTAAACACATCATAAAGCAAAATAATTCTCAACTTGATGTAAAATAACTAAAAGGAATCTCTGAAGATCTGGGAGTTACTAGGTTTGCTCAAAAGTCAAATGTTGACTTCTAGTTTTCCTGACTACTACCCCCATCATGAACCAACATTGTGTCTACGTTTGGCTAACTAGCTTATAAGCTAGCTATTCGCTGAAAAACTAGTTGTCGGCTAATGAGCTAGTTGTTAGGTGATAAGTTATATGATAAAATAATCATGGTCGGTTTGTAAAAACCAACTAATAAGCTAGATGACAATGTAAATAACCTAAAAGAATGTTTTGTAAATTGAATTGGCAAAATATAAGGGGCATAATTGGAAAGAAAAAAAAAGCCTTCGAAGCTCATTGAAATGCTACTTGAAGTGGCTTTCCAAAAAGCTAACTTGTGGCTAACTAAATGGGACTTTTTTCAATAAGCTCAAAAAATAAGCTAGGTTATGGTAGGCAAGCATGGCCTATATTTCTAGTTTGTTTCCTAATGGTATGCCTAAAACTAGAAGTTGTGGATAAAAGTCGCATGTGCTAAATTTTTAGAGCCATTTATTTAGTTAGGTTGTATAGACTAGAAACTGGCCAGCATGGACAAGGTACAAAGGAAAGTATAATAGACACATACCAAATGTCTCAATGCCATATCGAACGATTTCTTTGATAGCGTTCTTCCAAAGCCTGAGTTGTCTTGAGACACTGACAACTTCCCAGATGTATTATTCTGATTAGAGATGTAATCTTGCCTTGGTGGAGCCAGTTTTCTCATGTTTACAACCCTTTCGACCATCTTAGTACCCATCAACACCGGGTTTACATCATCACTTCCATTAGAATATCCACGATTCTTCGTTAGCCCAGATTTCACACCGTTATTACTGCTGCCATTTAAAACCTGCCCTCTGGAAGGAGAGCAAGAGCTCCTTTTTGGTATTGCTTTCGAGTTACATTCACTTGCAGGCAATTTAACAGTATTTAGCCCAGGCCTTCCCTTAGATACTGAAGCAGGCCTTTCAGGCAAAGATTTCTTTATATGTGGAGGAGCTTCAGTTGCAAATCCGGTCATCTCTGGTGGATTTTTTGACGGCCTGGATTTAACTGATGGGGAACTTCCACGTGAGGATGCTGGATTTTTCACGCTTGGAGCACGTGCTTTTGTTACTGAAGAAGACCTACCTCCATTCACAGATGTGGTAAGTAAACCAGATGGGTTAGATGGCTGCTGAGTTGGGGTTGAAGATCTTGATGTTGACTTGGAAGCAGCAATTATGGAGGGTCGGAGAGTTGGAGTTGAAGATCTTGATATCGACTTAGAAGCAGCAGAAGGTATTGAGGGTCGGGGTGTTGGGGTAGAAGAACGAGCAGAAGATTTTGTCGGGGTTATGGATCTCTTTGAAGGTGCCACTGGCTTTGTGGAAGCAACTATGGGTCGTGATGTTGGAGTGGATGATCTTGATGGCTTTGTTGTTGAAGGTACAGTAGCCCGTGTTGTTGGAGTTGAGGATCTAGACCCTGTTGATGGAGCCTTTCTGGATGGTGATGGTCGTCTGATAGTACCACTGGAAGATTTTATACCATTGGAGGATGCTGGAAGTGTAGGTGCCATAGTGGTTGTTGAAATATTATCCGCAGAGGGGGTTCCTAGCTACAAAACCACCAAGGAAATATGAAAAATAATTATGACATTGGAGTGAGTTACAGACTCCGAAACTCAATAAAGTCATGTGTTCGAGTTCCTTCATAAAATGCAAAGAAAGAGTCTAACAATACAACTACAGGGAAAAGTTCATTTAGGAAGAACCGTGAGAACCAATTATTCATGAGAATATACCTAAAAATTCATGAATTATTAATCAAATATTCATCATGAATAATTTATAAATAGTTGGTTCTTAAAATATTTCTGGTTCTCAAATGAACCTGCCCCTACAACTATAAGTCATAAGCTGATAATGTAAAAAGAGCTTTCGACTAAAGTTAGTAGTGCTCTTACGCTAGACTTTGGAGAAGTAGATTGACCACTTGACATCAGATTGTCACTAATAAGGGTTTTATGTTCTTCCAATTCCAGTGAGAGCAGTGGGTTACGAGGCGGTGAAAGAAGCCTGAGTTCATAAAATACAACTGAAATCTTGAGTAAAAATAGAAATAAAGTAGATTAGAATTGTCCGGAACAAATTGCTCATGCAAGAAAATATCATAGCTAGAAACATATTATACACATCCTCTTACAATGAAAGAATCAGTTGCACAAACCATCTTGCACAAAGATGGAAAGACTTCCCAAAACTACACTTTGCCTCTAAATGTAAAGCACATTACTTGTAAACTGAAAAATTGATGTCATTTGAAATTCTAAATCTTTAATATATAGCTAATTATATACATACTCGATCCATCCTTCGAAAAATTTTAACCATTTGATTAGGCACATAGACTTATGAAATTGTTTGACTTAGTTCAATAAGGAGAAACTAGAAGTAAAAGTGTCTTGTGGATGAAAATCAATAGAATCAATAATTTGTAATGACCGCACTACTGCAAATAAAATAGTACCAGTGTTCAATTTGCACTTGCATATGACTTTAGTACTATGTTTGATTAAAATAAAGGCATAGTATACTTTTATAATGGAGCACACAGTAAATACTACCATTCTATTTGATGCGCATTCACTTTGAAGTCCCTCCCCAAACTCATTTTCCGAGGAATAACCAAGTGCGATAAAGAGCAAATATTAGCTTTATAACAAGCAGCTTTTGAAATTCAATTCTTGCTTATAAAGTTATAATAGGAAAAAACTTGTTTAGTAACATCCTCCCAAATCCCGACCTTCTTAAGGATGCCACTATATCACCAGACTCCGATTAACAAGACATAAATTCGATTAACCGAAAATCATCCCTCATTTTTACAAATCATGAAGTTCTTTTTGTGTCTACTTAAAAAACACAGAAAACTCTGCTGGATTACTATCAATTAAAGATGACGGTGTCTTTCATGTCAAGCAAGTTGGAGCAGGATAAAAATGAAGCAACAAAATCATAAAAAGCCCATACAAAACACGAAGAGGTGAACCATGGGGATTTTCAGGGATGGAAAAAGTATGACGTCCTTACACACACTCCTAGCTAAAGCCAACTCATTTGTTATATTCAGCTACACCAAGTCTCTACTCAAAACCTGTGTCGAGTTAAGACGAAATCTCTCGCCTAACGACCTTCTCCCAGTACAAGTGTTCTTTCTACACGGCAAGTTCAAACAGCTATCTCAAGGGGTATTGTGTTAGCTTCTCCTCAGTCACTAGCACCCAATCATCTCATTATAGCTTCATTTCTGATCTTGTAGATTGATGTGTTGTTTAGTTAAACAATGAAATTGACTTGCCATAGAACATATTTTCAAATCTCAAATCTAGGAAGGACTCGTGATGAAAGGGGGAAGTTCTGATGTAAATATATCAGTAGGATGCTAGTGCCTAGTGGGCAATTTCTCTTTGGTTTATAACTGGAGGAGAACTGCCTTTCGATAAAAGAAACCTTCAAGGTGGTCCATATCTTCTCAGAAATATATATATGGCAACTAGTAATCAAAAAGGCCATGACAAAAGTAAATCCTTTTTCCAGAGCAACAATGGCAAAACCCAGAGTGCTATAATGGCTTGTATCTCATGCATTGAAAGTTTTACCTTCCTCTGGATATCAACATTTCAACCCTGAAAAAAGGGGTGCCCTGAGAAAATTCACCAAAGAAGATACATGTTCAAATTATGAAGGCATACCAGTCATAGTCTGTGATGCTGTTCTCAGAATTCAACAAATCATCAGCACCAGGATCCTGACCATGTATCATTGATTTTGTTTGGGGCATGAATGGATTCTCAGATTCAGAGTCTGCACCATACAGTATATCATCACAATTGAACTGTCAATGAAATATTTAACAGAAAAGCTGTTGTGCTACCAAAAGCCGATAAGTGAACCAATGTGCATTGTGAGTTGATGCATAAGTACATAACTAATATATGCATCAGTGAATTGTATGATACAACATATGGTGCATCCCAATAGGATTGGCAAACAGAAAAGAGGATTGTGTGGGGACAACAGACCCACAGTTTGCTTAGGATTCCCCAATAACGGTCAAGATGGAGATCAGTGATTACTAGCATGGGTCATGCTTTATAAGCTGCATCCTTGTTACCTGTACCCATTTGATGGTCCCGTCTTGATCTTGACAATAACCACAGGTATAACTCCACTTATTACTTCTCCATCCATCTTCCCGTTGGTGCACAAGTTCAGGAGCCATCCAGTTTTACTTTGGATGTAATGAGTTGTATTTTTACTAAAAAATAAATAATTTCTAGACTGTTGAAAGTTTTTTGCATATAACTTGATAGCATAAATTGACTTACATTGCAATTCAATTGAAAAAAAAATCCATAAATGCTAAGTTCAAAAGGTATGACCTTTTAACAAAAATATATATCACACATTAGGACCGATGAATTATGAAAACAGCAAAAAATACTCCCCAAAAAATGGTTCTCTTTTGATTTTTGGAATTTAAGTATAGTATTTTTAGAAATTCAAATTTTAACATAGATTCACAAAAAGGCAATCACCAGTTATTTCACAGCCTTACGATATGATATCTCGTAACTAGGGATTGGGTAAAGCCATAATTCTGCCTAAGAGCTTATGCAAACCAAGCTGTGAAAAAGAGAGTGGTTAGTGGCCAATAGTGCCCTAGTTGATGCCATTCCTCGTTACAATCAAACATAATCGGGGAAAAAGAGCACCCTTTTGCTTTTGAATATTTAAGTCTAACAAAATTTTCAAAATCAAAACAAAAGTTTTTATGTTAAACAACAATTTAAGTTACCCATACTAGTCAAAAGTAGACCATTTTGGGACAAAGGTAAAGGTTTGGTCATTCTAACCTATTGGAAGCTAATGAGCATTTCCTCAGGAATCAAGTTTGAGTACGTTGGAAGGCAGTACAAAACTACAAATCAGATAAGGCTCCGTTTGAATCCAAATATCATGCTCCAGTAGCAAAAATTGATTAGAGTCATATTCAACTTTGCATAAATCAAAGCAGTTGCAATAGAAATAAGATGAATTACCTAATGTTTCTTGAAACTGATTTGACTTCTGAAGAAGATCCAGATTCAGATTGGCTCCACTGAAATCGATTAACAACGAGAGATCATCACCAATCTCCTTCTCCTTAGTCTCTCCGCAGCTCATCTCCTCTTGTCTATAGTCAACAAACGCCTGCAAAGTTTCAACAGAAAATCCAATCGAAATCACAAAAACTACATTCAGTCAACTAACTTAGATCCAAATCTTACAATGCAAACTTGTGTACACAAATCCCATGTGTTTTAATTCAACATTCATACGTTCAACTAAAAGTAGCTGAAACATAAAAGTAAAGATTAGAAGCACTCACGGCCATTGTATTGCGTTTCTGAAGGAACAGTTGAAGATTTTGGAAGAAAGTAAGCAAGAGCGAATCTGAGTGGAATTAATTTGAATTGGTAAAGATGTTGATTTGTTTTGTTGTGACGCAAATGACAGATTGAGAAGCGGTGGAAGAAGAAGCGATGTTCGTGAATCAAAGAAAGAAAAGGGATTTTTGTGAGCTTGGATTTGGATTATGATTCGGATTCCTTTCACACACTCACACACTTTTCTCACACAGCCAGTCTGATGTCATGTGGAGTGATTTTTTATATCACTTACTATTATTATATTATATATATGTGTATATATAGTCCCTCCACATGAGAGAGAGAGAGAGAGGGGGAAGACAAACAACCACTCCAGAATTTGAATTCAATTTTCCCTCTGACTAACTCATTGACTGACATTTAAATTTAACAAATTAATTCATTTTAATACTTTTTTATTTAAAATTCTATTATTAATTATACTAGTTGTGTATTCATGTAATGTGGTGAGAATCGTGAATTTTAACGATTTTGAAATTTTACTGGTTTTGTTTTAGAAGATTTAACAATGATATAAGTTACATTTGGTTTTTATATATTAATACAATTTGAATAAATAAGAGTTAGGGTTCCAATTATAGTCTATCGATGAAAAAAATTGTATGACAGTTTAAAATTCAATATATTTAAAAGCCAACATATTTAAACGACTCCACAAATGTGTTCGATTTACACTAAGAGCAAAGAATCAAGAGATCGAGAGCGAGACCGAGAGTTTTAGAGCAATTGAATAGGAGAACTTTTAATAACTCATGGTGAATCTCACTTTGGGGGATGGGGAGATGACATAGAGATATGAGAGGGGTGAATGCATGAGTAAAATGTGTCAAAAGTATCTTGGGAACATTAAAAGAAAAAGTAATAATATGCATTGGTAACTTGTACAATATGTTATTTTAATTGTATACTAAGAGATTTTAAGATTGAATGTATAAAGTAGTAGTATTTTTAATACATTATGAGTTGTTTTTAAAACTTTTAAGATTTTTTGCATAAATGTATAGTACTTTATGCATTAAAATCGTTTTTAAGACTTTTGATAAAGCTGGTTTACAAGGTAGTATAGATTATTAAAATATTAAAACTAGTAGGACACATTATTTGTGCAATGCAGCAAGATGTAAAATTTATGTTATAAAACAAAAATTAGAAAATGAATGTAATTGTGTAGTCTTAGCTACTTCTCGGTTAGCATACTATAAGTATAAGAGACTATGTTCATTTCTTTTGTAGACCGTCAAAGTGAAACCACGGTGATCATACTTGTACTTACTTCGTTTGCAGGGGACAATCTATAATTTTTATGTAACCACATAGATGAAATTTGTAATTTACTCTCAAAAGTGAAACCATGGTGACTATACCCCCAGGAAATCGTGCCAAAGAATAATATCGGCTTTTCAACTGGTACAATAATATATCATAATTAAGAAACTTAACAACATTGAGATATATGTTTAATGGCAAAGGGTGCAAATTCATATTATGTAATGATTACAAAACCAGTAAGCCTTTAATCGAAGATCCAGCTTCTGAAAGTTCAGATGCATCAGTTCCTAGAAGACTTCTCAAGAGCTGTAAGGCATGACGTACCGTGTCCCTAACTCGTTTGACCTATACAAAAGAAGCAACCCTTGGATCCAACATAGATTGAAGTATATCTTGTAGGATGTTACATGTAGAATAGCATTAACCTTATCAAATCGACACATTAAAAGGGAAAGAATACAAGATGACTTAAGGAACCAAAATACAATCCATTGCTTCTGATGTAGCTTTTTGTGTTTTCCAATCACTGTTCTTAAGTGCTTCTTGGATGCCAGACATTGCAGCAATTCAAATGTTAGAAAAGTAGGATTATAGAAACAGAGTAAATGGTAATCAGAATCTGGATTGCTTGAGAATCGTGTAAGTTCACTTTCCGAATTGCTATTTCGACCCTATGTCTAGGTATCACGAAATTCAATTTAGGATAATCCTCAAGAAAACTTTCGAATTTAGGCATAAAAACGAATGCCAAAATGACTGGAGAATATTTTGATTGTTCAGATTTTTCATCAACCCCAAAACTAGTGTGTATATATATGTGTGTGTATGTGTGTGTGTGTATGTTCTGATCGAAAAAAATGGATAAGATTGATATAAATGAAGGTTTTTGGTAAGGTAGAATCAGTTACAGACGGTTATAATCGTCATGGATAAGATCAAGGATTCGTTAAACGTGTAGGTCTAGAAATCTAAACATACATGTCTAGAGATAGGACCAAAACCAACCAGAGATAGGACTATCTTTGGACTTAACTTGTCTAGTGATAAGAATATCTCTGGACTTAACTTGTCCAGAGATAGAAGTTCTAAGTCTGGATACCACTTAGTCGATTTTACTAAGTCTGAATACCACATGATCGGACCTTAAAACATATCAAAAATGACGTATCTCTTCATTTTGATCACGTTTTTCCACTGCATTCTGAGTCCAAAATTCTGTAGAGGTTTTGAGGTACTGCCCCTTGGACCCAGCAAGGGATGCTTCCCCCTAACCCCCGCATTTTCTTTGTGTCCAAAATAAACTCACCTTATATACAAGTGTGCCCTCTGCACCACTTAACTTGTATTAGATTACAGTTTAAAACCGATTTGCACTCGTGTTAATTCCAGTTACACTTAAACAACCGGCGAAACTAAAATCACCAACAATCCTCCCTCATTTTAGTGTAACCCATGAATTTGCACAGTAAATTGAACAAATCAAACTTGCACATAAATGAAAATGTCGAATCGATTGAATTTTTCACGTTCCAAATATTCGAGAATCAGGGTGTCCTAAGGAAGAACCCATCAACCCAAACCTTTGAAATGTGGCTAGAGTTTACAATCACATAGGTAATTCATTTACTTCATGTACCTAGAATACACTTTATCAAAGAAACAATTAAGAAGATAAACTTCAGCCTAGCATACTGCAGGATTGAACGCATACTTGGGATGTAATTGTGTTCCAATCTAAAATGTGAGCTTTCCACACTAAATTCAAGTTCTAATGTCATACTAGAAGGGAATTAGGTGTCTCGCCATTGTAGATTTAGATGGACTTTAATCACATCCCAATTGCAGACTTCTTCACTAAGTCTCTTGCCAGACCTTTAGTTAAATGATCTGCCAAGTTTTGTTGTGTTCTAACAAACTCAACTGAGATTACACCATTTCTGATTAATTCTCTAATCATGCTATGTCTAGCACCCAAGTGTCTAGATTTCTCATTGTAAACTTGGCTATAAGCCTTAGCCCAAGTGGCAACACTATCACAATGAATATAAATAGGTGCAATCGACTTTGACCATAATGAAATCTCATAAATTAAATCATTTAGCCAATCTGCCTCTTTCTCAAAAGCAGGTAAAACAACAAACTCAGATTTCATTGTTGTTTTGTAATGCAAGTTTTCTTCTTGGATCCCCAAGATATGGCACATTTCCCAAGCAAGAATACCCAACCACTAGTGGAGGAATGATTCTCCATGTTGGATATCCAACTTGCATCTAAATAACCTTCTAGAACCGAAGGGTATCTTAAATATCTCAAACCATAATTCATGGTTCCTTTAAGATACTTAAATACTCTTTGAACACTTGCCAACATTGAGTACTAGGATTACTAGTATATCTACTCAATTGTCCTACGACATAAACTATGTTGGGCCTAGTGCTCGTCATAGCATATATTAAGCTATCAATAACCTTAGAGTACTCTAGTTGTAAAATAGAATTACCCGTATTTGGCATTAATTTTATAATAGGATCCATAGGAGTGCTTACAGGAGAACAATCTCCATAATTGAACTTCTTGATTATTTTCTCAATATAATGTGATTGTGTCATAACAATCTCTTATTAACCCATTTAATCTTTATTCCAAGAATTACATTAGCCTCTCCCATGTTTTTCATCGAAAATTTAGATGACTAAAATTTTTTAGTTTTGTCTACCAGATTTTGGTTAGTCCTAAAGATCAACATGTCATCTACATACAAGTAAGTGATCATGCCTACACCATTAGCATCAAATCTGCTATAAATACAATTGTCATATTAGTTTATAGAAAAACCACATGACAAAATAACTTCATCAAAGTTTGATGTCATTGTTTAGGAGCTTGTTTCAGCCTGTACAAAGATTTCATAAGTTTACACACTTTATCCTTTTTTCTGGGCATAACAAAACCTTCAGGTTGTTTCATGTAAACTTTCTCATGAAGGTAACTATTCAAAAAGGCTATTTTAACATCCATTTGATGAGTAATAAATTTATGTATAGCCTCTATAGCAATCAATAATCTAATAGAAGGAATACATGTTACCGGAAGTCAATTCTGGGTTTTTGCCTAAACCCTTTAATGACTAAACAAGCCTTGAATTTATCAATTGTCCCATCAACTTTCATTTTCCTTTTAAAAATTCAATAAAAATCCAAATGGTTTAGATACTGGAGGAAATCAGATAACATCCAACTGTTAGTCTCAAGTATTGATGACATTTCATCATCAATTGTTTCCTTCCAAAAGGTGACATCCCGAGACTCCATAGCCTCTTTGAAAGTCTTTGGATCATATTCAATACTCTAACAATAAGAGTATTGAGGTTCAAACTCTTCTCTTAAACCTTCCACTAAATACAGTTGGAAGTTAGGACCAAATTTTTAGGCAATTCGATTTGTTTTGTTTTTCCGGACCTGTCATGTTTCCAAAAAAAAAAATATCTAAACTTTATGGATTTTGTACTTTACTAGTTCTAGGATTTAAGTCCTTAGGTCTTTCTATTGATGAAAATCGCATTTCATCAAAAATCGCATCCCACGACTTGATTACGTTGTTAACCGACACCGAATCATTAGGTTCTATTACATAGAACCAATAAGTCTTGGAATTTTCGTTATATCCAGTGAATATATAATCAATTCCACGTTCACCTAAAGTTTTCTCTTTGGGTTCAGGCAGTTTTACAAACAACTCGACAACCCCCAAATTCGAAAATACCCCAAATTCAGGGTTTTTTGAACCAAAACTCATATGGGGTTGTTTTGTTCCTTTTATTTGGAACTCTATTTAATACATAACAAGCCGTTAACATGGCCTCTCCCCAAAACCATGACTCAATACTGAGTAAGAAAGTTTTGTGTTTACCATTTTCTTTAAAACTCGATT